ATATATGACTATACATATATATATATGTACCGTATATATTTCAAACTATATTCCCTCAAATGAAACAAATATCTCAGACACCAAATATTTATATTAAATAAATTCATTGGGTCCGAGAACTTGCTTTATAAGGGAGGTTAATAAGCAGGGAGTATACAAGGCCAGGGAAAGGAATATGGAAGGATGTTTCAAAGCTTGAGGTGTGACAAGGGATAGGAAGGAAAGGCGTTATTGCGGAAGCTGTGAAGAGTGCATTGGCGACGGCTAGTTAGGGATGCATTGCATTTTCATCACAATCACCAATATACCAATATCATCAATACACTTATTATTCTACACCTGTGATTGAATTGAAATACTCCAACGAACATAAATAAATATTTTCACTTAATTTAATGAACAAGTTTCGATATAAAAGCGTTTTCATTGTACAAAAACAAATTCTAATTCATAATTAACATCCGAATTTCCTTCGCGCAAGCACCCTAACTGCATGCAATGTAGATAGGCCTATGTTTGATCATTGAGCTTTTAAGTTAGTGCCATAGGTCAACACAAAATTTACATCAACACTGAACACAAAAAATTTCAATTAGTGTACAACTACTGGTACATATGTTTGCCAGCGAGTAATAATATCTTACTACTATGGCGTATTCCCCCACTAAAGAGGCATGCGTCCTTTCACCTAAACTGACGTTATCTCCAGAGACACTGGAATTCCTCTCGAAACTCTCGGCTCAGCAAGGCGATGTCCGACCAAAACACTTCGCTGAAATTTGTCAAATCCATCTCGGCTACGGTCGGAAGGATGACGATGATGATGATGACATATTATACATTAAACATTACTGTATTGTTTTTAATACTGTAACTTATATCGCTAAACAAGCATATTGAAATGTTTTCATGTTATAATAATATTAAAAATAAATGCTGATAAAAACAATGAAAATGATACCAGGCGACAGCTTGTGCGGTGCACTGGTTAAAAACCTGAATAATTTAAGTATAAATACTGACGTAACACTGTTTATCCTCCTATTTTCGTATTTACATTACTAGAAAATTAGTTTTGGGTTATAAAAATATAGCTGATAATTAGTAAGACACGATGTGGCGTTTTGTAACTTGTTATCTAGCAACAGGTCTTGGTGATTGGATCTGTTTGTAATGAGTCCATCGATCCGATCCAATTCTGAAAGATAAAAACGATAATACATTGATGCAAATTAAGCTAATAAAACTATTATTAACCATTTTCAATATTATAATTAGTTTTAATTCAAAGTAACGATTTTCGTATAGGACACTATTTTGATAAAAGTAAACATAATAGTAAAAATGATAAATAATACAATTTATAATGGGCATATATTATTATCAGTATTATCATCAGTTGTAAAGTGATGTCTTTAGTATAGAACACTAATTTTAATAACAATAAACATTATAGTAAAATAATTAATAATAATATAAATAATAATAGCTAGTAAAACGAATATAAAAATATTTATGATAAATGACAATAACTTTGATAACAACACCGACAACAAAAGTAATAACGAAAACAAAATCAACAATAACCACTACAACTACAAAAAATAAAGCAACAACAACACCGGCAACCACAACAACAACACCGGCAACAACAACCACTCCAACAACAAAAAATAACAGCAAAATCGACAGCAACAGCAGCAAAAAAAAACAAAAAAAACACCCCAGTAGCAGCAACAGCAGCAAACCTTTAGAGTAGGCTTTTCTTACTTATTGGATTCTCGATGCTCCCTGCAGGACTCAACACGGTCAGTTCGAACCCATGTGGTCATCAGGACGTCCTCATCATCACATAAGAAGCACTGACCAGTCCAGCTAATGGTTGTTAAGCCGTTGTTTCTGACAACAGTGAAGCCCAGAGTGGGAAAGTCGTAGCTTTTGGAAGAGTATCCAACGACAAGAGTAGGAGCTAAAATGTGTGGGGAAAAAAAAACTTTTTAGATTAAATGAACTATTTAGAATGGAGCATAAATGCTGCATACTGCACCACGGAGATCATTGCGCCTCCGGATCTTTTCCATCAATATTCTCTCCTTGTAAAATTATACGTTATAACGCACCGTCTTTCTGAAAGTATGTAACAGCATAGATGTGTAATGTTGTACCGTGTTAGACCACACTAAAGAAATATTACATACCTTGTATTCCAAGGGCTAGTTCGATAGCGGTGTGGTATTCTCCCAAGAGCATACCAGAGTCTGTACTGGTCAAGACTACCTCATCACCAATGTCATTATACCAGGTTCCTTCCAAGGAGCAGTAAAGAACTATAAAACGAAACAACAAATACTTTAATACTTATACCTGTCCTATTCCGTACTGAATAATTTGACTGATGTAATAAAGGAAAACAAAAAGGTCGATAAAGTAGACTACCTGTAATATGACTAAAGTGTCCTATATGTAAAACAAGATATTATTAACACCATACTTTTCCATTTTTTTCAATACAAGAATGCCAGTGGACAACATGAATTTTCAGTTGTTCTATCCAAACATAAAATTGTATTTAATTTATTTTTTCTATTCTGCACGTTTGCGGTCTGTTTTCTTTGCAGATTTTTTAATTTTTTATTTATTTAATGAATAAAAGAAAAAAACACCACAAAATTGCATGAGATATCACATTTTGTTTAATTATATTGTATTTGTGGGGGTTATTTGTAATTTGGATGTTCAAAATTCACAACTTACTGTCCTCACAGTTGACACCTCCGTACCCCAGGCGACAGTCACAAGTGTACGCTCCTTCGAGGTTGTTGCAGGATCCTCCATTCTGACACGGCAGACTAGCACATTCATTCACATCTATAGAGAGCGGAGTGACATTTTTGTAATTTGGCGTTTCTTTAATAGGTTATCAGTATTTCTATAGGACTCTAGTTCCTACTAATCGGCCCCGGGGCAAATTTGGCCCGCAGGGTATGCCTACTTAAATTTGGGCCACCAGAAAAAAAAAGTATAACAAATCTTTGAAACAAATTAAACGTTATAATCATTCGATGAATACATTTTCAACGAAGTGAAAGCAAAGATGCAACCCCTGCGTCATGTGCACTATCAACTTTACGGGAAAACAGCTTGGAGATGTTATCGAACATGAGCAGGCTATAATAGGCCATAAATAAAATATAGGCCTATATACATCGACTTTATGCGCCGCCAAGTTGTGTCTCTGTTTGTTCTGTTCACGGTGTTTCGTCAACAGTGTTTGCACTTAATCTTAAATGTTTAATAAAAAACCTTTGTACTAAGAAAAGTGATCATAAAAAGGATACCGCTTACAATGCGGAAATTAATTAAGAACCAGGGCTGTAAGATCATAATATTGCTATGTTTACGTCATTCATTTATGGGAACCATTGTACGACGTAAACTATAATAATTTGCTGACAATAATACACCGTACTATTTCCTATTTTATAAAACAAAAATGCTAGTTAACAGCATGTATTTTTGCATGCAATCTAAGTTGATCTATCCTTATTACAACTTAAAAATATATAATGTACGTTTCTTTGTATTAAAGGTAAACCGTTCAAACATCAACTTTGGTAACATCATTGGTACAAATGTTAATATTTTTTTTGCATAGTTTAACATGTCCATCTACTTGTTAAGGTATATAGGTATAATTTAACAATAGAATAAATGTACAAAGTAACATAGCAACATATTACCTTCTTGGCAGTTTGAGCCGGTCCAGGCAACAGTACATTCACATCGGTAAGTTGTGCCTTCATTCACACATGTTCCATTGTTTTCACATGGCAAGCTCATGCAAGGATCCAGAGCTGTAATACATAGAATTGGTACGATACATTTCAGGACTGTCAATCAAACTAACAGCTGCCAAGTCAGGATTACGCGCATATTAGGCCTACCTCATAAACACATATGATTACGTGAGGTCTACGCTGTCGTTTTGTGCTGACGGTTGTCTACGTGATCCCACGGAGACGAGCGCAGACTACAAATCGTTTCCGACGACAATAACCGCTTAAGCATGGTTTCCATACAATCGCAGTTGAGGACTGCATACGCAGTACAACAGTTGCACTGAAAACACTGTAGCGACAGTATGCGGAATTTATGGAAACCAGGGTTATGACTGATCGACAATCAGTAGACGGACTGTCGTGTCGTCAAATGCTCAGCAATGTTGAACTCGTCGGCCAACGGAGTACGTGGCCCGGCATACACTTTCCGTTTTTATGCAATAATACATGCATCGTGTCGTTAACTACAATATGTAGACGTTAATACTTACTTAGCTCGCAATTTGTACCGGTCCACTGGGGCAGGCACTGGCAGGTGTAGCCATTGATGCCATCGTTACAAAATCCACCATTCAAACAAGGAGAACTCTCGCACTCGTCAATATCTGGAATTGAATCAAACAGTGCAATTATTCACTGCGTATTCTTCGTTAATATTAAGACGCACGAATGAAAGGTTAAAAATGAATTGAGTTGATGAATGTTAAGGTTAGGCCTATGATACATTATTACAAAAAGCAAGGCTCATTTCTACATGAACGTGAATGGTGACTAAAGAATGAGAACTATTGAGCGCATGCTTACTAATTTCACAATGAGTTCCCACAAATCCTGGGAGACAGGTACAGGTGTATTGGTTAATCAAGTCTGTACAGATACCACCATTCCGGCACGGTCCGCTAGCGCATTCATCAATTTCTGTTTTTGAAAAAAATAAGATAAATTAAGAAATAGATATAATATTATATATAATAAAAATTAAATTATAATTATAAAACGAATATAGTTAGTATTTTCACTAAATATGGTAGGCCTCTGTTTTCCATAAAATCGCTACACTGTCACCTCAGTGTTTTTAGTGCAGTCGTTGTACTGCGTAGCAGTCCTCTACGCCGGGAAGGCACTCAGATTCGACCGACCGACCAATCACATCACCGAAAGCTGTCGGCAATAAGCGTGTAGCGATTGTATGGAAACCACGCTCAGAAATCAAAATATTGCATCGTCTTACCAATTTCACAGTAGACACCTGTATATCCCTGAGAGCATGTGCAGATAAATCCGTTGACAAGATCGGTACAGATGGCGCCATTCTGACAGGGAACGCTGACGCATTCGTTATCGTCTGTCAAATAAAAAATAAGCCAAAATAAGCAAATAAAACTACAAATTATGTATTAAGATAAAGATTTTCGATCATCGACCTCGAAGAGGCAGTAAGGTAATCCACATGATTGGTTTATAGTCTAGTTATATTATATTTAAACGGTTGTATGAGTAAATCGTTTAATTGCACCTTAACTATCATAAATATATTTATGTCGCGCCTTACATCTCAATATAGACTTGCCACAATTCTCTAATTTATTGATCTTTTGTAGTATTAGCACATTTCGGAAAGCGCCACTAGCGGCGTCAGTTTATGTCAAGAAACTTTTTGATGCGAACCCCAGAAAAGTATACTATGGAACGCCATGCAAATAAGTAATATGGAACGCATTGGTGCTAAAATTGATTTATTTTAAAGCATTTTCACTGATAAAGACAAAGTTTAAGGACTGGAACCCAGTCTAATCTCAATAGGCCTATAACACCACAAGGAACAGACACATGACCAAATAGGATTAAAAACGTTCTGCGGTATTTTCATGTTTTTCAAAGGTAAGCCTACTTCTTGGGGCTGGCTTAGGAACGGGGGAAGAGCTTGACCACACCCCTGCCCCTTAAAAAAGTAAAGAAAAAAAATATTGATCGCCCAAAACGCCTCAGAGGTTATTTCCGAGCGTCTAGAAAACATTATTTTTCACGGCATGCCGCTAGGATACTGTTATCTCTCGATCGTTCACTTGAGGATATCTCTGGATCTGCCCCTGCTACTATAGAAATTGGCGGTACCTAGTTCGTCGAAATCATTCTAAAAAATCTACATTTAGTTACATTTTTTACTATGGATTATGTAACATACGTTTGACCCTTTGGTTTTAAGAGCATTTTTAAATGTACTTGTTTGACGCCAAAATCTGTTTACTTACTTATTTCGCAGTCCGCTCCTGAGAATCCAGGGAGACAGAAACAAGTATAACCATTAGTGTTGTCGACACACGATCCGCCATTTTGACAAGGGAAACTTGCACACTCGTTGACGTCTAGAAAGTAAAACACCATTGTAATTGTCCATAACCTTGTGGTACTCGAGAGCAATGAATTTGATTTTAAGTAGTATGATAGACCTATAAAGTTGTTTAATTCTTATCAAGTGATATGAAAATGGCAAATTACATAAAGGCAATATACCAACGTTTTTAGTTATTAAATGCCTTATTAAACTTTGTGACACCATGGAGGAAATGATTTCGATCAACAACTATAATGAGTTTGATCAACTATCTTTTTGGTGTTTTTGGCAAACATTTCAATTCTTGTATTATCGGAGTCATTCCAACTTACTCTGTTCGCAGGTAGGCCCTGTCCATCCCGAAGCGCACTGACAGAAGAACTGATTGAGACTGTCGGTACATACACCGCCATTTTGACAAGGAACACTGGCGCACTCATTTTCATCTGTCAATTAAAACATATATTTATAAACAATATATAAATTATGAACTTCATAATTTAATTTATATAGATTCTTAATTTAATCTCAATTGAAAGAAACAATTTTATGCCATAAAAAAGGTATTACATAACTAAAAAGGGCAAAACACTTCTCCCTTTAACATATAGTACGAGATTTGAAAGATTTAACTTTTCGATCCACTTGATCATTTTCAGGATTTGATCATTTTCAGGATGTTCTTCATACGAGGAACATTATCTATCAATTATATTTACAATACTCTAGAAGTGTAACAGAAAGTAGCTCAAAGCAAACAAAACTTGCTACCGGTATGTGGTTTTATTTAAAATTATATTTCAACAATTTCTTCAAATCATTTATTTTTTTTTTATAGTAGGCATAATGTAAAGGAGTAATATTTACATACTTTGTTCACAATTGATACCAGTCCATCCGGGTGCACACAGGCAAAAATATTCATTAGTACCATCCAGGCAGGTTCCGCCATTTTGACACGGGCCGCTGGAACACTCATTGATATCTGAAGGAAGACAATAATTTAGCATATACGAAAACACACGGGGCTAATGCTACTCAAAATATTTCGCTAGTTATAGCTTTATAGGTTAGTACGATTGAAATTAAAGTATACAGTATAATGATATTCCAGTCTCTACACCAATATAATGTTATTGTGTCCAGCTGTTTATTAAAATAACGAACGTCAGTTTTTATGCATCGTTATACTTAAATTAATTTGTTCTCTATTTCATGGTCAGTAAGAAGAGGCCCAGTCTTAAAGTGGTTTCCATAAAATCGCTACAGACTGTCGCCAATAGCTTTCAGCGACGTTGATTGCTCATTCAAATTGTAAATCTGGGATGCTTACCATTGCGTTTAAGACCGTTGCGCAGTTCAACGATTCCGGAAGAAAATACACAGCCACGTTGCAGTGTAGCGATTTTATGGAAACTCCGCTTTAGATAGAACTTCAAGTTAATAAAAAATTAGTTTAAGTTTTTGTCCACCAGTACTTTTTGTATGTAACCTGTTTATGTATGACCTGAAATTAGGACAACTAATAAGACATTACGAAACATTATTACACCATCTTCTAACATGCATAATATTAGAATATGCTGTAAGATTATACTGAAAGGAACTGAGTAGGAAGCGGAGGGATGATATATGAATGCCACGTGCATTTACTTAATAGTCACTTACAATTACAAAACTATAATAATATATAATCACGATTATTTAACAGAAATCAAGCAAAAACATCAAATAAGAAAACAATAAACGATTGTTTGATAAGCTTTGTATGATAACATGACAAGAATACTACACTTTACAAAGCAGCTGGGATATTTAAATGATAAATTCAAATCCCACATAAATAAAAAATATATGACGTCATCAATGGCAACAACATATTGAAATTTAATCAATTCTGGCAACGAATGTTCAAATATTTGAAATATATTTTGTAAATAATGATAAATGCTTGCAATATAAGTATCTGAAATAAAAATATTATAAATTCAATTAATATTTCATACATAATATCAAGTTCTGACAAACTACGATGTAATAATAATATAATTTATTTAAAAGTCTAAATAGATTATAATTTATCACTATCAAACACTTATGGAAAACTACGATGAATATGATATGGTATTATAATGAAATGAACAAAGCAAGAAATCTGTATTCGCTAAATATAAACTGATTTATGAAAAGTTAAAAGTCTTTCAGAAGAAAACATTATATTTATCGCAACATTACCTTACGTGACAAACATGATGTACTATGAAAGTTAAAGATCTGGGAGCAGAAAAGCTTTTTCTATGCTTTCAATTGCAATATCAAACTACTCTTTGTAGATGTTGTCGATATTGATTGATTTTTTTTTAACTTACTAGTTTGGCAGAAGTCTCCAGTAAATCCAGCTGCGCAGTTACACCTAAACTCGTTGATGCCGTCCATACACGTCCCTCCGTTCAGACATGGTAAACTCGCGCACTCGTCGACATCTTGATAATTATTTAAAAAAAATATATTGGTAAGTTATGAATATTTTTACTACCAACACATACCGTATTAACCATTTTGTAAAATACCAGTGACACGTTTTGGCACATTCTCCATGTAAAATAAAAAGAGCACCTAATTTTTTTTCTGGAATTATTATTGGTCCTCTCCACAGTATTTAGAATGGCATATGCACCAATGATATGATAATGGGTTTTAGAGAAGTATATTTATACATTGAAGGGATGTTACACTTACTGACTTCACACTGCAAACCACTGAAGCCGGCAGCACAGGAACACTGGTAGGAGTTGATACCATCGATACAGAGACCACCATTCAGACAAGGATTACTGGAGCATTCATCTACATCTGTGAACCAAGCAATTTCATTATTGAATGTATTAAATAATTGTGTTGACCTAAAATGGGTTTGACCAATAATTAATAATTTATGCAAGACTATTCATTTTCAACATAATTATAGTGTGTATACTTTTATATAATGATATTGCATACCGTAAAACATAGAATAGAAGCCTGGGCTTTTTGAGGCCACCTTTGAATGGGCTTCTTTTCGTGATGGGTTTCTTTTCGAGGCTACAGTACGTCAATAAGAGGCTTTTTAAAAATGAATGTTGTAAATTTGGGGAATTACTAATATAAAGCAATAAATATCGCCACTGTAGTATCAGTCTGTAAACTACTGTATAAACCAAACATGTTTTTCATTTATTTTGTTTCTTTGAAATTCATGTACAGTGTATGTACTGTACTATCTCGAAAATAAGCCCATTGGGCCTCTGTTCGATGTTGTATTGTACTACCTTAAGTGTTAATGAGATGTAAGACTTACTTATTTCGCAGTTGGTGCCAGTGAATCCAGGTAAGCAATCGCATGTATACCCATTGACGCCATCATTACATGTTCCACCATTTTGACACGGAATGCTGGCGCACTCGATGTCATCTAATCAACAGAAATTCAAAATATTAAAACAAATTCAGTTTATCATTCTACTTGTAACAATTAGGCCTATCTGCACATGCAGCTAGGTCATTTAACATGACGTGCATAAGGGAAATTTCATATTTCTTTAGGTAAACATGTGAATCATTCCAATTTACGAATACTTTGGCAGGAACAGGTCAGTTTTATTTAATTGACCCGACTGCGGGCGACTCATCACTTATATGATGACATATAACTTAAGATGCTATAGGCCTAAGCTAATTTGAGTTTCATTTATTAGATTATAAAGAAGAGTTGGCTTTAGTCATGCTGATTTGAAAGATGTTGATGATCATGTTTTATAGATGATAAATAAATAAATAAATAAATAAATAAATAAATAAATAAATAAATAAATAAATAAATAAATAAATAAATAAATAAATAAATAAATAAATAAATAAATAAATAAATAAATAAATAAATAAATAAATAAATAAATAAATAAATAAATAAATAAATAAATAAATAAATAAATAAATAAATAAATAAATAAATAAATAAATAAATAAATAAATAAATAAATAAATAAATAAATAAATAAATAAATAAATAAATAAATAAACAAACAAATAAACTAACTTACTTATTTCACAAAGAGTCCCTGAGAATCCTGGTGAACACTGGCAAAGGAATCCGTTAACTTGATCCAAGCAAATACCACCATTTTGACAAGGAGCACTAGCGCATTCATTAATATCTAAAATCAAATAATGTAATGAATCGTTATTTACCTGTGCAATGCATATTCGATTTATCCTGTTAAAACTGGATTAGTTTCATTTACAAGTGAACCAGTTTGTATTATTACATCCATGGATTGTTACCACTTACTTTCTGTACAGGTGATTCCAGTCCATCCTGAAGCGCACTGACATAGATATCCATTCACCTGGTCTAAACACGCACCGCCATTGGCACACGGTGTACTAGCACATTCATCAACATCTTAACAACACAGAAAGAAATATTATAAGTCAATCGTGAAGTCATCCCTGCAACTCCCAATGTTATTTTCCTATCCCCAAAAGTGCACTAATTTTTAATTAGTACATGGTGTGCTTGATCTTTTTTTTGGTTCGTGTGTAAAACCTGTACAGGGTCCTATCGCGCAACGCGATGAGTAGGCTATTGTTTCCACACCTAGCGCTACGACGCGCGCCTGCGGAAAGAAATGGCAGACACTCGCTCAATCGTCGTTTGTTGACAATGAAGACACAAAATAATTATAAAAGAAATATTATATGATTATGTTTAAACTTTTCCATATTCATTCCAAAAAAAAAATGTTTTATTCTATGTCACACACAAATACTCACTAATTTCACAAAAGGTCCCGGTCCATCCTGAGGCGCAATTGCAGAAAAAGCCATTTACACCATCCAGGCAAGTAGCTCCATTGAGGCAAGGAATACTTGCACACTCGTCCACGTCTAAAAAAGCAATACAATGTCAAATATGTTAGACTGCAACGTCAGTCATTTTATTTTTTTTTCTTATAAATTTTACTCAATGAAAATATAAAAACAAAAAACATACATAGTGTATACAGATCCTATATGCATTTTAAAGAACCATTTTACTTTAATTTCACAGCAAAAACTAGAGAAGCAGATTGATAAAAAATACAAGAAACAACAGAGCATATAGACCCCATATGTATCTTTAAAAAATCTTTTTGTAACTTACTAATTTCACAGTTTACCCCAGTCCAACCAGAAGCACATTGACAAATGTATGAGTTGATACCATCAATACAATTGCCGCCATTAAGACACGGCACACTCGCACATTCATCAATATCTGAAATTATTAAAGGATTGTATAATAATGTTACATTATGAAACACGAGAAGCCCCTCGCACTTCCTAGATATGCCAATACATAGCATACCCTGCAATTTACCCTACGGTCCGCCACTGGTCATAACCACTGGGCCACCGAGCTTGCGCTTAGTGACTAGTGTTGAATACGATCCCTAAGTGGAAGTGGGTACTGAAAATAACTTTGTTATTAGGTAGTTTTCACCGCACGACATTAACCTTAACTTTAACGTTAGTACTCAACATGCAACGCGACAGTTCCGCCCCTGTTGTAAAGAAATCGAAATACGCATGCACAAACCCATCACTAACGTACGTCGCGAGCACGTAAAATCCTGAAATTAACGTACTCCGCAACGCAAGATGAATAAATTATGACGTCATCCGTTAGCGTTAAGGTTAACGTCGTGCGGCATAAAACTACCTATTATTAATGTTACGTAAATAAAGGCTTATAGATAGCCATACTAAGGGAAAAAAGGTCACTTACTGTCTCCACAATCTGGACCAGAGAATCCTGGCAAACACACGCAGATGTACCCATTGATACCATCAATACACGTGCCGCCGTTAAAACATGGACCACTGGCACACTCATTGGTGTCTAGAAAAAAAAACAGACAGTTGGATATTTGTTACATTGACACACTTCAATAGCCGTTTCCTAATTAAACATATTTCTTTGAATGTATTTAACAGTCAGTGAACGAAATTACATCTATGTAATAAATAATTGAAAAAAGCACGTTGAAATTTGGATAACATTCAAGTACATAATTCGCAGGTAGAGTGGTCAATGTTTTGCTGGCTAGCCCAAGTGGCCAAGTAATTCTATTTTAATTTAGGCCTAATCTGTTTTATTTTATTATATGCCTAAAAATCTGATTATAAGCAATGAACCAATGAGTGTCCTGTTACTGTTCAATACTCAAAAGCCAATTCCAATTGATATTGCTTTCTGTATACTTATAATGCCACCACAATAAGATGTGACAATAAAGAGAACTTGAACTTGCTATATATATGTAAGTCTTACTTATTTCACAGTTGGTTCCAGTGAATCCCAAAGCACATTGGCAGATGTAGCCGTTCACGCCATCGATGCAGAGACCGTTATTTTCACAAGGCAGACTTAGACATTCATTAATGTCTATACGGAGAATAGGAAAATAGTTGATTAAAATACAAAATATTGAATCACAATAGCTTGCATTTGTTATATTTATACTGGACAAGAAAAATAACAGATTGGATACCCAGAGAAAATAAAAGGAAAAGGGGAAGACAAAGACAGAGTTGGAGAGACGACTTGCAAACATACAGGAAGTACTGATTTAAAGAAACATCAAACAGAAAAAGGTGGAAGAGTTTAGAGGAGGGGTATGTTCAATGGTGAATTGATGAATCCTGAAGAAGAAGACGAAGATTATTATCAAATGTTGTATTCTGAATACATAATGTCTGTATCACATTTAAAATTACTTACTGGTTTCGCAAAATTCTCCTTCATACCCAGGAATGCAAACACAAATGAACGAGTTGATTTGATCCAAACATGTAGCTCCGTTCATACACGGACTGCTCGTGCACTCATTGTCATCTGTAAGGTAAAATCAAATTAATGGACGAGCCTAAACATTCCGCCTGTTCTATATCAGACCTTAGGAAAGATGATTGATGACCATATTAGGCTCATGTCAAGCCGGAACCTGTAGGATGAAATGTTCCTGGTTAATGGAAAACACCCGACAGACAACAGGCCTACTGTCAAAAACATATGAAGGCAAAACCAAAATTTATAAAATAAATATATAGGCCTATAAAAATTGAGAGTAGAAATAAAATCCCAGCTGCTTTGTTAGTGCATACAATTATATTATATACTTTTTCTGATAAAATCACAATTACATTTTTTCCAAAACTAAGCTGCTGTGTTTTAAAAGGACACAAATACATACATTGTTGATGCAACACTTTAGCTAGTACAACATAGACAAAAGCTCGTTGATAACATTGGTTCGAACATTATTTCGTGCATGGATTATTGGTTAAGCGTACTACGTGTTAATATTTAATACAAACACAGACGTGTTTATTAAAGCCGGTTTTGCACTAGGCGAATTTATTCGCGCGAACGGAAGGCGTCGGTTCGGTTCCTGAGCTGTGATTGGTTGCGCACATTTTTCGCTTCTCAAAAAGTAGAAACAGTTCGAACTACCAATTTCGCTGAAGCGAAAACTCTGATAGCAATATAAGCGCGCGTGCGCATGGACGACGCTTTCGATTCGAGCAAATAAATTTGCATAGTGGAACACCGGCTTAACGGGGAAGACCATTTAGCGTATTAATAAAGCTCATTAATAGTTGACAACATACTGATTTCGCAATTGGTTCCCGTCCATCCTGGTAGACATGCGCATACATAAGAGTTGATGCGATCAGTGCAAGTTCCACCGTTCAAACAAGGACTGCTGGCACATTCATCAATGTCTAAATAAAACAAATATTTCTTTTGTGAAATGCATTGTTATTTTTATATATGATTTTGTTAACTGGGTTGATAAAATTTCAGGTGACAATATGTAATTTGTCCACATAGGTGCATGATGTGACATTGTCCATCCATATACAATGGCAACCACAGATATGTCACAGAAAATATCACAGTGTCAGAATAATAAGTGGTTTAATGGCAATGGTAATGATTTTCCATTTCTGTAGGGCATAATACAGTGTAATGTCTCCGTGCGCTCTTTTACAAAGTGTCAAGACAAAAGAAAGAAAACAACATAAAACAAGAACAAGAAAGAGAATTGTTAAAAAAAAAATGTAGATGACTTAATTAGCTCTGAGCCTTTTTTTTTTCATTGTTCATTGTGGTGTTTAATTGTGTTTGATGACAGAAGAATAAAATAGAAATTATATATAAACCGTCCGAGTTCTCATTGATTTTCGTAGATGAATAGACTAGCATGATGATCAAATGAACATCAATATGAGAAACATCTATTTATTAGTATGATCTAATTTATGTAAACGTACTGATTTCGCAGTTTATTCCAATGAATCCAGGTAGACAAATGCAGCTATATCCGTTAACTCCATCATTACAAGTTCCTCCATTTTGGCACGGGTTACTGGCACACTCGTTGTCGTCTGCAAATTATCATAGTACAATGTTAATGCAGATAAATGATAAAAGGAGTTAAACATTCTAGAAGAAGACAGCACTATTCAGTTTAACAATCTTCCATTGACGTGTGGCATGTGTGTCGAAAAAAGCACACTGAGATCACATAAACTTTATAGTGGTAGGCTTTTAATAAACTGTCACATGAAAAGTGCCGCCAACTTTTTTTTTTAATAATTAAAATAAAAGATATTCTTTATTGTCATAATCAAAGCACTTGATACGTGAAATGACATTCTTCATGCTGATAACGATAAGAAATACTGTATACAAATTTTAACTTAAAAATTTACTACAATTACTGAGACTAATGATTACCATACGTATTGGTATAATTAAAATTATCACTTACTAATTTCACACAAGGTACCAGAAAATCCAGGAAGACAGTTGCACGTGAATTGATTAACTCCGTCAAAACATGCGGCGCCATTTTGACAGGGGGTACTCTGGCATTCATCAACATCATACCATCATGTAAGTAATAAATATAACAAGATAAGTAAAACTCACTAATTTCACAAAGAGTTCCAGAGAAGCCCGGTTGACATGCACATGCAAACTGGTTAATACCATCAACACACAACGCACCATTGAGGCAAGGGATGCTGGCACACTCGTCAATATCTAGAGGCAGGACAAATTAAAAAACATTTCAAAAGATCTCTTTTGATGTTCAAAATTGTTGCGGAGTTTTAGATATTTTAAATGTTTTCAATGAACTTGTTACCGCCTTGTATATTTCCAGAATGAAGTAACAATAACATATGGTAAGCAATCATAACTGAAATAAATGTTTAAAAAAAAAATCATAAAACTAGACTCGTTTAAGATTGGTCAGTAAAAAAATTCAGGAAATCAAACAATGATACACAAGAAAATGATTGTAACAATGAGAGTTGAAATTTAAAGTTTATCTCATTCTCAATCTTGATTCATATTTCTTTTGTTTAAGTACTTGTTGAACTATAGAATTAGGTGCTAAGTTTTCAATATAAAATACGCACTTATTTCACAGTTGGTCCCCGTGAAACCTAGAGCACACTGGCAAAAGTAACCGTTGATTCCATCGAGACAGGTTCCTCCATTCTGGCATGGTGTGCTAGCACATTCATCGACATCTAGTGAACGAAAAAAAAATCATGAGATGGTTATTTAAGATTCCAAATACTTGTCCTTAAAAATAAAAAATAAAAGTAAAACTTTTACAATTAAGCTTCAAAATAAAATTTAAATAATTTAGCTGTGATTTTCCTTGTTTAAAATTATTGCAACAAACGTCTTAAATTAGTTTGTAAGAGTTGCGTCCGACAAGGTGTTGTTAATATAGTGACTACTTATGCATAACATAGCAAATAGATGGAGGTGGATGTTGATATAGTGACTTCATAAGTGAATAATATAGTAAATAAATCTAGATGGATGACAAGGAATACCTAAATAAATAATTATAGTAAATAGATAGTTTTGGCGGATGGTAGTACTTGAATGAATGACATAGTACATGGATGTAGGTGGATGTTGATATAGTGATTTCTTACATAAATAATATTAAATAAATAGAGGTGGATGATAGGAACTACCTAAATAAATAATATAGTAAATATATAGAGGTGGCGGATTTAGGGATTACCTTGAATGAATAACATAGTACTTGATGGAGGTGAATGTTGATATAGTGACTTCTTACATGATTAATTTAGTAAATAAATTGAGGTGGATGTTACTGAACACGTAAATGAATAATTATAGTAAATAAAGATGGATGACAACGACTACTTAAGTAAATGATAAAGTAAATATTGTAGATATAGGTGACGGATGACAGGGACTATCTAATCATGGAGGAATTAGGTTTAGTAAACTAATTCCTCCGTGATCTAAATAAATAAAATAGTATATAGATGGAGAGGGATGTTTATATAGTTTATGGCAGTAACAAAGATCTGAAATAAAAATGAGTTGTTAAAACACAGTGTATGTTAAAAAAGTCCACAGTGATGAAAATTATACAGACATTAGAGATAACATAGTAAATCATTAAAAAAAATTAAAAAAACCAAGCTCCAATTAAGTAATAAAAATGTAACAATATAAAATTCTGAATAAATAACATTGTTATTTGTTGGACAAAATCCAACAATCAAGAATAGACAAAAATCTAAAGTTAATAGATCATGGAAAAATTCAAATTCCACTATGTGATGTAAAATATAATAGCAAACAGGTTGAGGTGGAACAAGCACTTACTAATCTCGCACGTGATTCCGATGTACCCAGCAGAACACAAACACAAATAACCGTTCACGCCATCCAAACATTGGCCACCATTGAGACATGGAGCGCTGTCACATTCTTGTATGTCTGTCATGAAAAGTAGTCAATTGTTTTACTCTGAAGAATTTATTATTATATAATAATAATGAATATGATAGCGCTATTAGTTGTGATAATAATGTCGTTGAAGATTATGATGGCAATAACGACGATGATTAAGACGCATTATCATCATCATCATTGTCATCATCAAGTCTATAGTTAAGGAATATTTATGTTGATTCAAAAACATACACAAATAATAATATATTTACACTGCGTGTCTCATAAAAAATTTAAACAATTATAGTAATGATAATGAAAGAAATAATGGAAGCGATGGTGATAATAGAGTGCAATAATGATACACAATAACTATATTTTAAATACTATAATGTTTATAATCTCAAAATTTATTTCTTGATTATGTTTCAATGAGCAACACAAATAAACCATCTTACTGATCTCGCAATTATCTCCAGTCCATCCTGGTACACACTGGCACAAGTAAGCGTTAATGCCATCTACGCATGTCCCTCCGTTCTGACAAGGGCTACTGAAGCACTCATTCGAATCTAAGTAAGTAATTTAAAAAAATGTTATAAATAATAATCATTATTTATTTTATTTGTATATAATTCTTTAGGCAAGTACACATGCTCCAAGAATTTCCAGTAGGTTTTTGATTTGTGCGACGACGAGACGATAGAACAGAATCACTTTTTTTAAAATGTAGGCCTATTTGTGGTGTGTTTGCGATGTTGTTTTAATGTTTTTCTCCCCTTTTGTTAAACTTCAATTTTGATTTGACTTATTCTGTAATGTTAATGAGAGATTACAATAAAGTTCTTCGTATTTTGTAATCATGCGTTACCGTCCTACATGACGTCCTACGTTCTCTGCATACGTAGATTTGGCCAAATTGCGTTCCAGAATCTACTCGACGAGGTGACGTTAACGTTCACGCATGAGCAGATGACTTTTAGTGACGTCATTACGTTCTACGTCCTACCGTCGTTGTGCAATCGAAAGCTCCCTAATATATTACTGTCCTACTCATAGGTGACAATTCACAAGACAAACAATGCTGCACAGAAATTCAATCTCAATATGATGATGATGATGATGATGATAATGATGATGGTGATGATGATGATCATGTTAAAGCACCGTTGGACAGTGAATAACTTCAACAATAGGCCTATCTAAAAATAGATACAATAATTCATATATTCTTACTAATTTCACAGTTGGCTCCAGTAAAACCAAGAGGACATATGCATGTGTACTGGTTAACTTCATCCCGACAGACGCCACCATTTATACATGGCGATGATTGACACTCATTGATATCTGTAGATGAAAAAGTACCACAATAATAACTGTCTTAACAAATGAGATTTGTTTTTTTTTTCTTCGCTTTTATTTAATATTGTCAGCTTACCTATTTCACAGAGTCTTCCTGTATACCCCGGGGCACAGTCACAGGAAAAATCGTTTGGAAGATCGTTGCAGGTGGCACCATTTTGACATGGATCAGGGTCACAATCATCGGGATCTTGAAAACAATACAATATACAATGGAATCACTACAAACTATGAAATTAAAACTATAAATATATTTCTGCCAAAAAAAATCTATAATCACACTAAATACTAACTAAATAGTCAAACTGATTAAAATCATACATCTCAAATAACATTTTGTGAACCCTAAAGTTGTTACAAGGACGTAGTTAGTTAAGCATTGCCCCCTCCCCCGTAGAACAGTCCTTAATCTTCCAGCGCAACGACTAAATAGTCAGATCAAAAATTTAAAAAAATGATTTGCCTATTAAAATAACGTTATTTTGACCGCTAATCCCTAATATTTTGATCCAAAAGCATATACTAAGCCATAAACCTCTCCCCATGAACACTAACCAGTGATGATTTTTTTTTATTCCAGAGGCCGTCGTCCAGAGGCCGTTGTCAGCCCCATTGGTTCGGACCCCTCTGTCGGACATGTGACTCGGACCACTTGTCGGCAGATTTCTAGCGCCACCGTTTAATTAGTCACCTGCTTTTACAGATACTTTTAATTTTAATTGAGGCTTGAACAAAATCTAAGTGTGAAGCTGGGGGTACACACTGTGCAATGGAAGTCGGCTAACGCAACGCTTAAGCAGGAGGGGCGCAACGAATCATTTTACAAACCGCTTAGACGGCGTTGCGTCGTAAAGTGATCGCTGGGAGAGCTGAGACGGAATTCATCACTGATGGCCTTTGATGTGGATCCGGTCTAGAATTACGCTATCGTCGCCCACCGAAGCTCCGTATGCAAACTTACCTACGAAAAATGATATATTGAAGCCCCTCTGAACGATGTTTCTGTCAGTCGAGAATATAAACCAGAATTGGTCGCCCGTTAATGAGAATGGTTCTGGTAACATATTTTGGGTTGTTAAGTTTCCTTCTAATTCTCCAGATTTAAGGTTGAAATCTGCAATAGGACCAACGCCATACTCTAGAACGTCTTTGAAGAGCTGTAGAGGACACAAAAAATAAATACGAGCAAATAGTTGGGTGGAGATAGGTTGTCGTAATAGCCAAATTGGAAATAAGTAACTGACAAAAGTTGATAACCGAAAATGTCTCATTGATTTAATAAATATACCAGGCAACATATTACAATCTCAGGAGTGTTTTGTAACTTAATTTCATGTTCGAATACATATATATATATATATATATATATCTGTCTCTTATACACATCATGCTGCGCGCTTTATGTACACGCACTAGGTAGACACAGTAAAGCCGATCGTCGTAGGCATTTGGATAGTTCGGACTTGTAATTTCGCCAGTGGCTTCGTAAATATTGTAGCCGCAATTCTGAGCTATGAGGCGAATAAAAATTACAAAACAATTCATGTAATGAAATGATTAATATTAGTCTTCTACTAATGACTATACACTTTCAATAATGTATTACAGTAATAATAATTCTAATAATAAACCCTTTAGAAAAACAACAAATTAAACACAAATAGGGTTAGGCTTGTTGTTAGGCAGCAATTTTATAAAATTCATTTCATGTTTATTATGTTTCTATAATTATTTGTATATCATGGTTTGACTCTATACCGATTCCATGATTAGGAACACTTGATGTTTCAAAGGACAGTTCTTTTGTTAGAGGAGACATATACATAAACGTCATTACTGAGTATTTATAATAATTTAAGTTACTCACCAGTTGACTCATCACAATTGATTCCATGCCATCCCACGGGGCACTCACAGGTGTAATAACCGCCTCCGTCAACGCAAGCGGCGCCATTTTGACACGGGTTGATATCACATTCTATAACAAAAGAAATGTACAATCATAGAATTGTTATCATAATTATGCCCTATATTTCAAATTAATTACGAAACTCTGTATGAATTTATTCTCTAATTATGCTCTATGACTATATTTAATACAGTGCATTTACACCGATGGTTCTTTGTAAATAACATTAAATATTCGAATGCATAATTATTTCCCTATAATTTTCTATAAAATATAAAACCATGGAGGAATCCTCCAATAGAAAACCAATTATAATAGGTTTGTCCTTATTTTGCAATTAGATGTTTTCAGCAAAATAATAGACCTATGTACGATGAACAGCTTGTATTGTATCTGAATGTTGTAAGTGAACGTCCGCTAAATATTGACAGTCATAAAAATACACTGGAACCGCTGTTGCAAACTACAAACTAAGGCTAACACTGCTTTGAACAATTTACGTTCGTTGGTGCTATGTATGCTAAAGATAAATACCACCCACTCGACATTCAAGTATTCTATAAAATAATCTGAAGGAAGTTTCACTTAAGTGTTAGCTTAATGCGTAGGTAAAGTGTACTTAATTTACTTTCTTCGTGATTAATGCTTGCGTTTGGGCTGCGCTCTGAGCTGGTCGCCTACTTAACTATACAACAATAGTTGTGCATATATGACAGTTCACTTCTGGGTTTTTATCATCATGAGGGTTATTGGAATATTTCGTTGTCCAATAGATGTATAACACAAATTAGTATGGAAAGTAATTTCAAGAGTGTTAGAGATGTTTATGGGTAGACTATAACGGTCCTTCACCAAAATTACTTCTCATACGTACCTACTAAAAATTAGAATCTATAACATTCTCCTGAATTGTGCACAAAAAACTTTCTCTATTAGACCAATTCACTTAGGCCTATATTTCAGACAACAGAGTTCATGGAATTGTGAAAGCCTCAAACCAAAGCCCATGGGTTAAAATGTGAACAAATTACTACGTCACATTTCAAGATGTCGGTGCTTAGATGATAATGTGCTCTCGACATGTAACTTCTCTTACCTGTAGTATCACACGAGGTCCCATCACCACGGTTACAATCTAGCTTGCAATAAGAGAGACATACAATGTTGGTATTCCTAGTTAATAAAGTTTTTAATTTATTACAATGAAACAAATTGAAATTCCATTGGTTTCCACTCATGATGAACCAGTTTTCAATACTAATCTCAGACAAGTAGGCCTATGCAATTTTTGTCCTGCAGATTTAGTAGGTTCATTGTTAGTGGTTTATTGTCATATTTAAAGTTTTTACTTACTTTTTAAATTAAAACAAATGTACGTGTTTTTATACCTTTAAGCAATAGACCTCTCTGGAGTGTCAATCAAACTTAACAACTGACTAATTAGAACAGCGCTAGGAATGCGCACGCGTCTTACAAACACACGTGTTGTCCCACAAACGCACGTGTTCGCGTATGTTTTAACACTGCCGTCTCGTGGGACCTTAGCAACAATATCCAAGGGGCGGAGCTTAGCGGAAACGTCCATTCACACAAAGGTCATATGTTGCCTCTGTCATAGATATTGATAATGAATAATAACAATAATATTTGGACTAACTGTATATCACTTATGGACTGTATATTATGCAGAACAATTTGCCAATCTTGACTAACATAAGCGTCGAAAATAATTTTGCATAAAAGCAATATTTTAAACAACAAAAGAAATTCAAACCATTATTGTTTGTAACTAGTATTTTTAGTGTTAGTTTAATTATTATTGTTGGTTTTTTTTTTCCTTTTAATTAGGATTAAGTTCACATAAAGGCATTCAGAATTCCAGATTACAGTACTTACGGTCGGGTAGTTAAAAAAAAAAACTTTGATAGCGCCTTATTACTATACAATTACAATAGACCTATATACGTTAGTACTAACTTTACAGTTATTTAAAGTTATATATGCTAGTTCACCAATATTTATCCGAATTTCACAATCAATTACTGAATTATACGGCGAAAACTATTTCACGAAGACCATCGGTAGCCATTGACTAAATGGCAATGATGTTGGCTTCACTGTGAGTCATAAAGACTGTGATAACATAAATATAGTATGTTCAGTTGGAACGGTGTTGAAATTTCAGATACTGAATTAATGTATTTAATGCTTTTCCTTATAAGCTTTGCAAATGCAACACATTGAAGAAGTTTAAAAGCAAATTCAAAGCTGTACCAAAATATTAATATTTAAAAACGAGTAATTGCCACCATAAATTATGATTTGAGTGATGTTACGTTTAGTTATACATTCACTTCAAGGTTGTGAAATGATCTCAGTTTTTGATATATAAGACTCTACAATATCCACTTCCTTCCTTAAGCAGAAGAGAATATATAACACATATCATTTGCAGGCCCGTAGCCAGGTCATTTCAAGGGGGGGGGGGGGTTCTCTGGGCGTCAGATGCCTGCCTAATGGCCCCGGTGGGGTCGGGGGCGAAGCCCCCCAAGCCAGAGCAGTTTTTGTGTTTAATGGGTCTATATAATGTTATAAAAGCAGTTATGTTTTGAAAAAGATCTATGTAATAAAAAGGTGGTAATATAATAAAATAAGAAAATATTTCGTGAGTGGATTTCCCGTACGATTAAAAATCGCAACGGTACTGCATCGTGAGTGGATTTCCCGTACGACTAAACATCGTAACGGTACTTGGTTTGGTCTACATGATTTCGTGCTTCGAACAGGTCATTCCATTCATAGAAGAAGCCTTTTCATGGAGAAAGTGTACCTTTTAGCAAAGGTTTGTCTAGGTCGAAACTAACTCCGGCAATATAAAAATTGATTAGAATATTGAAAATGTTATTCATGTTAATGATAGATAAAGATTACGAGACCTAATATGTCCATTTTTATTGATCTAATCTACGTGTATTTACTTTCATAGTTTATATTTCATATATTTAAAATAGTTTATACACTTATTTAAAATACTATATGAAATAATGTAATCATTAAAATTTATGATAATACTTGATATTTAAATAAAGCAAAAGATTGAAACATGTTAAATACAGACACAAAGTATACATAAACCTATTTCTAGATTACAGAAAATATGTAAATCTGTATTAAAATGATATAAATT